AATATTTGTTGGGGCATCTCCAAGCCCTTTGCATGGATCAGCTCAACCTTCATCACAGTCACTGAAGAGGAAACTGAGGCATCATGGAGGTTAAGAAACTCACCCCCCGGTCTCACTTTCATCCCCCTGTGTGCTCCCAGTGAGTGTGTGGCCTAAGAAAGCCATACAAAGTGATATGCTCACAGACTCTACAAATAAATCCAGATGGAATCCTAAAAAATGTTCAAATAACCCACACGAAGCTAAGAAAAGAGAAAGAGGAAACAAACAGAAAATAAATCATAAAATGGCAGACTGAAGCATGAGTCCATCCGCAGGCAGCGCTCCTGGCACACAGGTGGTGCTGGACAAGTAGCAGGTACTTGCTGTGAACAGTCTGGAGGCGATGGGGAAGGTGAGTGGCTGTGAGCAAGAGGCTGCAGGCAGGGTCTGCGTCTGAAGGGCTCCCCAGACAGGCAGCAGCATGCACAGAGGTGTGGAGGGGTAAAAGGACAGCTCTTCGGGGAGGTTTTCAGAAGCTTGGCGTGGTCAGGAAAAGCATTTGGAAAGGTCTGAATGACTCTCTTAACGTTTATGTATTGAGCCCCTACTGTGGGTTAGGTGATAATGTACGGAGGACACCTGGGGGCCAGACATAGGGCGGGAGGGAGACCTCAGGCAGATTCCTGCCCTCTGGGCCTGCTGGAGCACCACTGCGTGAAGCAACACACATACACACACACACCACTCAAACTGCCCCCCCCCACTCAAACTGGGCGCTAGAGCCATTGTGTGTGTGTGTGTTGGGGGGGGAGGGGGGCGGGTCAGAGGACCAGCTTAGCTGTGAGTCGTCAGGCAAGAGACTGCCTCTCTCAGACCCACAATGATCTGTAAAATGCAGCAATGTTTCCTGCCTCCTGGCTGAGGGGGACAGTAGCAGCCAGTGGAGCTTGGGTGTGCCCTGCCCCACTCTGCTGTAGTGCCCAGCTAGCTGCGCTGGGCTCCTGAGGGCAAGGACCATGTTCTCTGTGCCTTGTTAACCCTGGAGCTGCCATCCCATTGCTTCTCCACCCTGTAGCCTTTTCCCCTCTTGAGCTAAGGGCTGGCGGCCAGAAGCACTAGGCCTTGGTGGGAAGGAACGGGAAGGCACATTTTGGCCACACGCTAGCCAGTCTTCCCAGTGTCCCCACAGCTGCCAAGTCCTCATGTACTGAGTCCTCACATGCACTGGGCTTTTCATTTACATCTCACTTGTCACTTAGAGGCAAGTGTTTTAACACAGACTTTGGATTCAGAATCCGCCTAAATCCTAGCTCTCTCCTTATTAGCTGTGTGACCGGGTCAAGTCATTTTCCTCTCTGAGCCTGTCTCATCTATCAAACGGGCATGACCCCCAGGGAGAAGGTGGTGTTGAAGATCATGTAAGATTCTGCATGGAAAGGGCCTAGAACAAGGCCTGACATGCAGTAGATGGTCCTTGGCGGGTATTTCTATTTCTAATTCAGCTAAACTCCATCACCTCCAGCCCCAGAAGTACTTTTTCTGACCCGGAGCTGTTCCTGCCCTGCAGGCCAAGGGGCCTCCTAGTTAGTGCCAGTTTCCTCAGAGCATTCCTGAAAATTTCTGTGGGCTTGGGAAAAGGAGAACAACAGATTTAATTAACTCCCAGTGACTGGCAGCATCGTGTTTTTATCTGGGCTGCGTCGCCATGGCAGCGTCATGGCAGGGTTGTGGAGGGGGCGGGTGGAGCTATTGTTCCTGCCATTGTCTGTTCTGGAACGCAGGCCTACAAAAAGGGGACTGGCACGGGCACCAAGTGGCACATGGCACAAGGCAGCCAAGGAATCAGACAGGAGCCATCTGGGGAGAAGTGTCAGGTGGCCTGTGGCCTCCCTTCCCCCCAGCTTGCTGCCAGACCAGTCAGAAACAGGGTTGATATGGAGCCCCAGCTTGGGGCTCAGGCCCCATGTGCCCCACCCCACGAGCTGACTGTGTGTGTGCCTTGGGCATGCTGAGGAGAGGGGGGCCCATGGGGCTCCTGGAAGAGGCCTACAAAATAGCTCAAGCAGCAACACTCTCCCACCCCAGGCTAGGGTTTTGTGGTCAGGCTTGGGTTCAAATTACGGCACTGCCACCTACCATCTACACGGTTAATTGCTTCCCCCCTTCCTTATGGGTAAAATAGGAATCATTTCAGTTACCCCAAAGGGTTTTATGTGAAAGCCCCCGAGTATAAGGCATTCAAGAAGGGCTCATTTCTATTCTGCGGGGGTGGTGAACAGTCGCCTGCCACCCATCACTCCACAGTCAAGACTCCCTCCTACATACCTCTTAGGAAGCAAGGTTCCTCTCTCAACCCTGGCTGTGGAGAGGTGGTGGTGGAACTAGAGGTGCCCATCTGGAGTGATGCGCGACCAGGTGGTACTGAAGACAGCTACTTTTCCTCCCCTCTGCACAGAGGGAAAGGAATTGGGGGAAGGGACACAGTGGCCTGGAGCTAGAAGGGCAGGGCCAAATGGGGCTGCGCATGAGTAGACGGGGGAAGCAGAGACCGAGTTGCATCCGGCGCGCGGAGGCACCTAGAGGAAAGAGAGAGGCAACGGCATATGCCCGGCGGCGCGTTCGGCGCAGACAAAGGGAGGCTGGTAGCGTGCGGTAGCAGTCGGAACCACCCGCCCAAGCCCTCCTGCGAGAGCAGCGACGACCGGGAGGCCGCGGTGTGGGCCGGGATGTTCCATGCTTTGGGCAACCAGGGATGGGGGCGGGTACAAGACCTAGAGCGCCAGGGGCTGCCGGGCGTATGCACAGGGCTGAAGCTGGGCGCCAGTGGGCTGCTTGTGGGACTCGAGGAGGTGGACCACCCTTTCCCTCCGCAAGGCAGTCGCACCGAGAATCCTCTTCAGCATCCTGGGGGCTTGCCCACGGGCCTCTGAAACCCTTTCCGAGCTGGGGGTACCCTGTTCCCCGGGGAAGCGGGTGGAGAATCTCCCGTGCGCAGAGGTCGAGACCGGCCTTCGCGCGCCCCCTACTGGCCCGCCTGGAGTCCCCTCGGCTTAGCGGCGGCGGCCGGGTCTCAGATCTGGGAAAACCCTACCGGGGAAACCTCGAGGCGTGACGTAATCCCTCTCGGTGACGTCACCGGGACCCTGGGGAGTGTGGGGGTTCCCGCAGAGGAGACTTCCCCCGGACTGCGCAGGGCACGGGCGCGGGCCGGGAAGTCGTCGGGAGGCGCAGCGCGCCTTCACCGCGCCCGGTGTCTGTCCCACAGGTCCCGCGCGGCCCCGGGTGAGGCCCGCCCGCGCGCCCGCCGGCGCCATGGGAAGGAGCGGGCGCGGCTGCTGCTGCCCCCCGCCGGCGCGCGCACGACTTGAGCCCCGCCACGGGCAGCTCCCGGCCGCGGGCCCCCGAGTGACGCTGGCGGCACCTGGGAGCGTGGCGCGGGCCCGGAGCCACGTAGAGGAGCCCAGTGTCCAGTGAAGCAGCCAAGGATCCGCCGCCCGCGCCGCCGCCATGGTTATGTCCCAGGGCACCTACACGTTCCTTACGTGCTTCGCCGGTTTCTGGCTCATCTGGGGTCTCATCGTCCTACTCTGCTGCTTCTGCAGCTTCCTGCGCCGCCGCCTCAAACGGCGCCAGGAGGAGCGACTGCGTGAGCAGAACCTGCGCGCACTCGAGCTGGAGCCCCTGGAGCTCGAGGGCAGCCTGGCCGGGAGCCCCCCGGGCTTGGCGCCACCGCCACCACCGCACCGCGGCCGCCTTGAGGCGCCGGCGCACGCGCATCAGCACGTGCACCCGCTCCTGCACGGGCCCGCGCAGCCGCACGCACACGCGCACGCACATCACCACGCGCTTCCGCACCCGCCGCCACCGCACCTCTCCGTGCCGCCGCGGCCCTGGAGCTACCCGCGCCAAGGTAAGTACCGACTTCCGCCACGGGCGACCCGCGCCACCGGGGTGGGCGGGGCCTCGGCAAGGGGGCGGGCTCCTGCTTTCCCGCGAGGCTTGCACTGGACAGCCTCACCGAGAACCTAGGAGGAGGGAGCAGGCTGGGTCTGGGGTAGGCGGCTGGCCCAGGCCTCTGCGGAAGGCTGCGGACAGGTGACCTCACGCCCTCGGACCGCTTCTACTCCGCAGCGGAATCGGACATGTCCAAGCCACCGTGCTACGAAGAGGCGGTGCTGATGGCCGAGCCGCCGCCACCCTACAGCGAGGTGCTCACGGACACGCGCGGCCTCTACCGCAAGATCGTCACGCCCTTTCTGAGCCGCCGTGACAGCGCCGAGAAACAGGAGCAGCCGCCGCCCAGCTACAAGCCACTCTTCCTGGACCGGGGCTACACTTCGGCGCTGCACCTGCCTAGCGCCCCGCGGCCCGCGCCACCCTGCTCTGCGCTCTGCCTGCAGGCGGACCGCGGCCGCCGGGTCTTCCCCAGCTGGACCGACTCGGAGCTCAGCAGCCGCGAGCCGCTGGAGCACGGAGCTTGGCGCCTGCCGGTCTCCATCCCCTTGTTCGGTAGGACTACAGCCGTATAGAGGGGCGCCTGGCATCCCGGGCCCCACCCGCGGACTCTTGGCCTGGCCTGACTGCGGGGCTTTTTAAATGCTTCCCTTGGACTGCGGGGGGGCGGGGGGGGATTGGGGACGGGGCGGGAGGGCGGGCTTTCTTACCCCGTTTGTTACATTTTGAGGATAATAAAGGTGTGTGATCTGGTTTGGTATAAGCGGAGGGGACACCCGCTGCTTGCGCCCAAGGTTCTGGTGGCCAGGTGTGCCCAGGCCTTGGCGGGACAAAACCTGAATGCGCCGTTCGGCTACAAACTGGCCTGAGGGTGCAGAACTAAACTCGAGGTCAGCCTGCTTCGAACTCGAGGCTGGTTCCCCCTGGAGCGTCAGACCCCACCTGCCCGTGAGAACACGGTGAGGGCGCCCCTGCGGCCTTAGAAGTGGGAAGAGTTGGGAATAGGGGGGCAGGGCAGGCGGCCCACTCAGATCAGCCCCTGGAGGCCCGGAGCAGCAGGCCCGAAGGGATTGGGATTTCTTTATTAACAGACATGAGCACGACCCGTTACAGAAGTTTGTGCTTTCCAAAAAACAGTTACTGAACGTGAAAAAGGAACCCAAGCAAAGAGGGAGGAGTTGGGAGGGCCAGTCAAGCCCCAGCCCACCCACAGCCCAGACCTGAATCGTGTCTAGGGCCTCCGGCCTGGGACCTGCCCAGCAGGAGGGGGCAGGAAAGGGCAGGGAAGCTAAAGGGCCCCAGCTGGGCCTGCTACTTCCTTTGGGCCAGGCGGGGAGGGGTAAAGAGAAGGGCGGGGAAGGGGTCCCAGGGAGCCAGAGCCCACGAGCCATTTATTGCCATGTTTTAAAATTCGTGCAAAATATCTGAAGCCCTGGACAGAGAATACAAAGTGATATTTTTCCAAGAAACAGAAAACTAGGAAAAGAGATGGGGGGGGGGACATTTTCCTTCCAGAGCTCCCCCCACGCCAGGCCCCAAGCAGGGTGAGGCCTCCACCCCTGCCAGCTGAGTGAGCAGGGAGGACTAAGAGCTACAATCTGGACCGGGTGGGGAGGGGGTGGAATTGGCAACAGCGTCTCAACTACCAACAGGAGGAAAACCAGTCAACTGTACAAGTCTCCTATCAACCTTTAAAAAAAGAGAGAGAAAAGCTGTAAAAGTCGGGCCCCGTGGGTAGGGAAGCGGCAAAGTCCCCTGCCAGGGCCGGAATCCAGAGTGGGTGCCAGGCGGAGCTGCTGCGTGTGCAGGCGCTGCGGGCCGTCTGGCCAGAGGCCGGCGCAGGTGGGCGGCCTTGGCGAGGGCAGCCTGAGGGTGGGCACCGCCGCTAATCGCCACCCTCGAAGCCCTCCTCCTCCTCCGGTGCTGGGTCTGCATCCCAGCAGGTAATGTCGATTTCTGTTTTCGGAGGCAGGGAGTTAACGAGATGGCCCACAGATCCATGGCTGTGTCCCCCAACCCCTGTGGCTGTGCCAGCTATGTGGGGCTGCCTGCCCATACTTGAACCCAGCACCCCCACCTGAATTCCTCCCCATCATCCACCCCAGGACTACCTGGAGGTTTGTTGTAGAACACAGGAGGCGGAGCCTTTGCACACAGCTCTTCCGATTGGGCGAACTCCTCCTCCTGTGATTGGCTGAAGTACCCCTCACTGGCCTGCGGGAGGAAAGCACCAGGTCACTGAGCCCCACCCAGCAACACTAGGGCTGACCTACCAGGACTGAGCCTGTTTCCCCGGCAACCAGTGATTCCATCAGTGGTTGCCAGGGAAACAGATGGCTGCCTTGGGAACAAAAGCAGAGCTGGCCCAGGGAAGGGGAATGGAATACAGCTCTCCATCCCCCACCCTCCCCACCCCCCCACCCCCACCCACGTAATGTGGGTCACAGAGAAAGGGAGGTATTGCCGCAAGCCTGAGGAATGCAGAGTCAGTCCCCTGCTTGAGCCCTGATGGCCCCTCCCACCAGGCTGCCCCTCCCTACCTGAGTTCCCTCCTTCTGGGTGGTCTCGCCATTGGTCAGCAGGTGGGACTCTGGCTCCGGCTCCGGCTCCGGCTCCGGCTCCAGCTCCTGATCCAGCTCCTCTAGAGCAGAGGGCAGAGTTGGGGCCTGGGGGGCAGCCAGGGGATCCCCTTCTACTTCCTCCTCTGGGTCACAGAAGGTGGCAGGCGGCTCAGGCAGCTCGTCAAAACTGAGAAGGTTGGCACAGCCTTCACTTGCTGGCGGTAAGGGCTCCTGAGCCACCTTGTCCAGCAGAGGCACCTCTGCCAGAGTGACCTCGGCACCCAAGGGTGGTGTGGGGGCCCTCGGCTCAGCCTGGGGTGCGGAGGCCCCTTCTCCATTGCCAGGCCATAGGTCAATGAGGCTGGCAGTGTCAGGGGTGACGGTGTTGGCAAGAGCGGTGTCAGCAGTGGCAGTGTTGGTTTCAATGGCGTCAGCTGCCAGGGTGTCTGCTGTGGCTGTATCAGCCATGGTAGGCCCCAGAGGCACAGCCAGGACAGCCTGCTCTGGAGACACCATGAACATCAAGTCCTCCATGGCGCTGCCTTGCCCCTGGGGAGACTCTGGTGCCTGAGGGGGCTCCTCCGTGGCGCTGGCTACTCTGGCCTCCTTGCTGGTCTCTTCATCATCCAGGCCGGGGCTGGGCTCCTGGGTCTCTGTCACAGCACAAACGGAGGAGACAGATGTGATCATCTCCGTCAGGGAAGGATGTGGGCCCTGGGCAGCCACCCTACAATACTGTGCCCCCCCACCGAGGAGTCGGGGACTCCCAGGAAAGAAGGCCTCCACTAAGAGCTCCATGCAGAGCACCTTCCAGCACCCACGGGGCCCCAATACCCCTTTACCTAGTGTCTTCAAACCGCTCAGCAGCCCCAGGAGGAAGGCCCGATTCCCACTCCAGGGAGAGACACTGAGGCTCAGAGAGGGCAGGTCTGGCTGCAGCGCCAGGGCTCCTCCCAGCCACAGCTACTTCCACGGCAGTACGGTCTGGGGGGCGAGTGGCCCAGATCCCTGGGGAGTTGTTACCATGGCCACCTGGGGTTCCCAGCCCAGGGACTGATGAGAGGCCCGGTGCAGCTAGGGCTCTCATTCACCTTGGGCTGGTGGGGGTGGTGGTCGCAGTGGCAGAGGCTGTGAGGACGTGACCTCATTCAGGGCCCGCTCGATCTGCTCAGCGACAGGGGTACAGGCCGTGCTGGAGTCAGATGGGCTCCGGGTGGGGATGGGGGTGGGTGCCATTCTCCGGTGGCTGTCCAGATGGCTACCTATGGAACAAATCCCCAGGCTGGTCAGTGAGGGCCGGGGAGTCAGGTGGGACCAGGACCGTCCACCTTGGGGCCTGGCCAGCACCTCCTCTCTGGAGTCTGGGTGGAGGCTGGGAGCTCCCCAGGCTCCCCAGGGGCCAGACCACAGCTCCAGACCCTGTAAGCCAGGCCCCTGGGGGCCAGCGCCCCGTCAGGGCCAGGGGAAAGAGGCAGGCAGTACCTGCTCTAGGGACAAACACCAGAGATCAGCAGTCAGGCTGAGGGAGTGAGGGCAGGGGGCTGCTGGGAAGCGGGGCCCTCCTTACCCGCCCCGCAGAGGCCTGGGGCTGCTACCTACATGGGAGGGAGGAAGAGAGGTTTGGGGTGCGGTGACAGGTGATATAGGGAAAGGGAGTCCGTGGAGGGGAGGAGGAGGAGGAGGAGGAGGAGGAAGGCCCACTGTCCGATGCCTTTATGAAAGGGCAGTACGGACGACCTGCCAAGAGAGACAGACAGAGAGAGACAGAGGACAAGAGAGGGTCAGTCTCCCCCACCCCGCCCCAAGGCCTCACCCGCCCCCAGGGCTGGCCCTGGAAGTCCCAGCTGCCTTCAGCCAGGTGCACATTCAGCCAAGCTGGGCCACAGGCTCGAGCCGTGAGGCGACTCCCACCAGCACTAGCCAGCACAGCAAGGCGCCCGCCGCACGCAGCCAGCTGAGCAGCACACGCCCAGGTCAGCCTGCCCCACCCTGGAACCTGGGCACAGGGCCAAGCACACAGCAGGGGCAAACACTCGGACCAGCAGACAGAGAGCAGAGGGTGCTTCGGGGGGAGGTGGCAGCTGCATCAGGAGAATCCAAACAGGGCACCCTGGGCACAGGCTCCAGGCTGCAGGGACCCAGGGCGAGGGCAAGAGCCCAACCACATGCACCCGCAGCCCTTCAGGCAAACCCCACTTCTGCCCCAGCAGGGCCACTCCCCACGGCCAGGGTTGTCTCAGCCCAGGCCAGAGCCGCCCAGATGGCCCCAGCACTACCCATTGCTCAGCCAAGGCCCAGCATGGACCCCTGCCCGAGCCCTTCAGTCCTGCCACCAGGGAGGCAGTGGGTGGAAGCACACTTGATGAATGGCCTTGCCTTCTCCAAGGGGTCCTTAGCAAGGCTTCCTTTCCAAAAAAGAGTCCCAGAGAGGCTCAGGGCCAAAACCTGAGGAGGAGACTCAGTGGGGGTGGGACCTGGGACTACCTGGTCGGTGGTTGAAGGGTGAGGGCACGTCACAGCTGCCCGCGGAGGCCGATGCGACTCGTTCCTGCTGCTTGAAGAATTCCCGTGGGTTGTCAGGCCGCTGGGCAATAATGGCCGCTGCCTCCTGGGGGCACAAGAAAAGGGTCAGAGCGGGGCCAGGCCCAGCTGAGGCAGCCCTGCCAGCCTCACCTGCCCTGTCCCCCCGGCTCTCACCTCTACCTCGGATTCTGACTTCTTCAACTGGGTCTCTTCCTCATCCTGCTGGTCCCCCTGGAAACCAAAAGCACAGTGTTCTGAGCAACTCTCCCCCCGCCCCGGCAGGCCTTCTTACAGTCCCCATGTTTCCTCCACAATCAAGAAAGAAGGGGCTGAGATGGCACCCCTGCTCCCTCCACCACCCAGTCACACAGCTCCTTTTCTCCATCCACAAGGCCCTCAACTACCGCATCTCCAGCCAGGAAAGACCCCTAGACACCCAGCTCAGCTCCTCCTGCTCCTTCACCCCCACATCCCACCAGGCAACCGGGCCATGCCGAGCATTCCCTGCTCTGTGGCTAACTCTTCTTGGACCTCGCACCCCTGCTACCTGAATCTGGCATCACCACCAAGGCTTCCTCATTAGCCTCCCGCCTCCTTGCTCTCTTCCCATAATTTGTTCTCTATAGACCCTAAAAAGGACTTTTCCAAAATCAAGATCAGACCATGATTCTTTCTAGCTTAACATCCCTCAGGGGTCTCCCGTGAGCCACACCAAGTACTGGCTGAATACGGCCCATAAATTGCTTTTGTTTTGCCGGTATGTTTTTAAAACACATTAATGAGCTGCCTCCACTTAAAAACTGGGAAGTGTCATATTGAAATTAGAATGCCAGAAAGCCCTGGTAACGCCGGCCTGCTGCCCCGGAGCAGCCGTCAGCCAGAGCTGCACTGCAGCCGCCTGCACACGGGCATGTGCTGTCTAGTGGGCTGCAGTCCTCGCCACTCCCCACTGCACTTCACTCGCTGTCTTGAGACTGCAACCCCAGGAGTACAGGTAGATGGGGCCCCTTCCTTGGCCCACATTCCCCTCCCCCTGCCTGACCTAGCCCCTGCCACCTCTCCAACATCCCCCTCCCACGCTGACTCGCCCACACACCCTGGGAGACACAGACGTGAAGTCCTCAGCATGCTGTGGTTGCAGTTCCTGGGCTGGGCGTGGGAGAGGACTCTCTCTCCCTAGTGCCCCAGCCCACCCCAGGTCCAGCCCTTCCTGCTTCTGGCCTCAGCCTAGGCACTGCCTCCTGGGGCAGAGGTCCCTGGCCCATTCAGGTCACTCCCTCCTCTGGGCCCCATGAGGTACTGGAGGCGTACAGAGCAGATCCCACTGCCACCACTTCCTGTTTCTGGGATCGCCGCCCCCGATGCGGGTGACACAGGGAGAGAACTCGGGTCGTGTGTGAGTGGCCGGCTCAGGGTTCAGTTGGTACACGATTGCTCAGTTGAACTCACTACACCAAAGCTTCTAAATCGGACCCCTGCTGCTCCTGTGGCCAATGGGGCAGGAGGGCAATGACCGGGGAGAAAAAGCTGCAGGGAAGGTGGGGGAGCAACAGGGCTTCCTTGTTGTGAGCACAGAACCATAAAGACTTCAACTTTCCTGTCATGGCACATGAGGAGAATGGCCCTTCAACGTATGTCCCCTCAAGAGGGCTGTCACTATGACTACAACTTTGTGTCTTCCAGAATGAAGTCTAAACTCCTCTGACCTTGCTCTCTCTTCGCAAATTTCCCCTGCTCCTCAGCCCACTGGGCTCCAGTCAGGCTCCTTGCCTTCCTATAAATGTATATACCACCACCCTTTGCTGGTACTCTGCCCCTGCCTAGTATAACCTCGCTAAGCTCCTCTGCCTCATTCAAAAATAGGACCAGAGGCAGCTTACCACAAAAGCCTTAACTACCAACGTGACAAACACTGAAACAAATTAGGGCTGTGGGTAGGAGAGATCAATATACTAACCAGAAGAGTCAACAACTTTTCTGTGCCTGAGCGTCTTCAGATACATGGGAGCTCTCTGGCAGCCCAGGCAAAAAGGGAACTCAGACAAGAAATGCAATTCTTATCAGAGGAGGGAAACCAGAATAGCTCCTTAAATCAAGAGAAAGCATTTTATGGTTCTAAATTCCAAAACTTCTCACATGGGACCTTCCTTAGAGGACCTGAAGTTGTAGGGCCACCACACTGACCTGTAGAACACCTACTGTCACTGTCACATGAGCCACACTTAAAGGGCCAGATGAGACTATAAAATAATGGTATAAGACTTTAAGACTTCACCTGAAATGTTGATAATTGGTGAAGATGAGCAATCAGTTTAGGGGGTTCACTATGCCATTTTTTCTACTTTTGTGTGCATGTAAAATTTTCCATAAAAAATAAGCTTTTTCAAAAAGACCTTAAGGGCCAGCCCGGTGCCATAGTGGTTAAGTTTGCGCATTCTGCTTCAGCGGCCCAGGGTTCGCCTGTTCGGATCCTGGGTGTGGACCTACACCGCTCATCAAGCCATGCTGAGGCAGCGTCCCACATAGAAGAGCCACAACTCTATACCTATGATACACAACTACGTACTGGGGCTTTGGGGAGAAAAAAAGAAAAAAAGGAAGATTGGCAACAGATGTTAGCGCAGGGCCAACCTTCCTCAAAAATAAAATAAAATAAAAAAATAAAAATGAATAAACAAATGAAAAAACAAAATTACGAAAAAAAAGATAAACAAAATGTGGTCTATCCATACAATGGAGTATTATCAGCCTTAAAAACGAAGGACATTCTGACACATGGATGAACCTTGAAATCATGCTGACATAAGCCAGTCACAAAAGAAACTACTGTAAGATTCCACTCACACAAGGTGCTTGGAGGAGTCAAATTCATGGAGACAGGAAGTAGAATGGTGGTTGCCAGGGGCTGGGGGAGGGGGATGGGGAGTTCGTGTTTCATGGGTACAAGGTTTCGTCACAGGAAGATGAGAAAGTTCTGGAGATAAAGAGCAGTGATGGGGCCGCCCCGTGGCATAGCGGTTAAGCACACACTCCGCTGCTGGCGGCCTGGGTTCGGATCCTGGGCGCACACCGAGGCACCGCTTGTCAGGCCATGCTGTAGCGGCGTCCCACATAAAGTGGAGGAAGATGGGCACAGATGTTAGCCCAGGGCCAGTCTTCCTCAGCAAAAAAAAAAAAAAAGAGGATTGGCATGGATGTTAGCTCAGGGCTGATCTTCCTCACACACACACACACACACAAAATGAAATAAAAAAAATAATAAATTCATCAACTAATTTTCAAAAAGCCTTCGCCCATCTTGTTCTCCACCATGTTTCTAACATCTGGCACATGGCAGGTGGCAAGGGTTTGTTGAACGACCGATTGAGGCTGGAGTTTGCCAACCGCACATTACCTCCACCCACCAGGTGGCTGATGTGATTGGAGTGACCTATGACAGTCACTTAATGTCAGGGCCTGCAGGGCCATCCCATCTCCTGCCTCCTGGCCTCCTGTGGGTGTGACCTTGGAGCACATTTGAGTCCCCACAGCCCGACATCTGCCATCATAGTTCCAATCCAGACGCCCACCTCCTGTCTTGAACTCTATCATGCTCGGCCCTGAAGGACCTTAGCTATTTCTGAAATACAAAATGTAACTCAAAGCAGAGATCTGACTCCACAGTGATTTTCAAAGGCTCAATCCACAGGCCCCATGGGCCACCCCAATATTGGGAGGTTCAGACAGCATGCTGTGAACAAGGGGCCACTCTGAAGGAGACACTGCACACTCGTGTAGAGATACTCAGATTCATTCCCGGGGCTCTGCAGCACTCCTGTGGGGGGACCAGGCCTCGAGCCTCCTGAGGGCAGGAAGCCAGGGAGGGGTCTCATCCAGCCCAAGCCCCGCAGGCCCTGCTGGAAGGGGCGGGGAGCCTGGCCAGTGAGGGTCTCATCAGGGTAGATTTTCTCTTTCAGTCTAGAGTATAAGCTTCTCCAAGGAGGTCTCTTTCCACAGCCGGAGGCCAGAGCCTCAGGCGATCAGGTGCCAGGCCTGACACTCCACAACACCCCATGCCCACGCAGCGGTGCCCAGAACGCCCAGCACTGTCCCCCAGCCACTGATCTCCCCACAAGGCCCAGGAAGACAGGCGCCATCCTCACCGCCCTGACCAGGAGGCCGGAAGCCCCGGCCCAGGACTTACAAAGATAGACTGCTCCTTCATCCGCCTCTTGGCCTCCTCAGCTTCTAAAGTCTGCTGTTTCCTCCTGGAACGAGAAGCCAGCAGGCACCCTTCAAGGGGGCCCATGCAGGGGGTGGGGGCGGCCATGACCCGGGGCGGGGCGCACCTGTGCTCCTCAATCTGCTGCTCCCGCTCGCGGTAGCGCCGCTCCCGCTCCTCCTGCTCCTGCCGCTCCTGCTCCATCCGCTCTTGCTCAAACCTGAGCCTCTCATCCAGGGCCTTCTTCCGCTCTTCCTCTTTCCTCAGCTCCTCCTCCTTCTGCAAGCCCCGCGCCAAGGCACTGTGGGCCCCCGAGCCTGGGCCCCGCCCCGCCAGCCCATCCCCACCCAGGGCTGGGGAGACATGGTGCTGGGAACTCAGGGGTGACCCTGTGGACATAAAGCCAAAAGGGCTCACCCTCTCAGCTGGGGGAGTCCACGGGAGGGGACACACTGTAAAAGGGAGGGACTTAGTGAGAGCAGCCCAGAGTACCCCCTGGGGTCAGGTCAGGGAAGGGCAGCTCAGCCCAGAGGCCGGGGTGGGGGTCCACACCTTGGCCTGCTCCCAGAACTGCTCGCGGTTGATCCGCTTCATCTCCACAGCTGCATCAGTCTTCTGATAGGTGGTGCCCTGCGGAGTCAAGTGGCCCGGCATGAGCACAGAGGGCAAGCCGAGCGCTGCGGGAGCTTCCACCCGCACAGGGTGAGGCCTGCGAGGGACGGGCCAGCCTGCCCGGCACACACTGACCACCGGCTCAGCGTTCTCATCCTCGCGCAGCCGAAGCCGGTGTAGCACGGGGCTGGAGAGCCGGGCCAGCCCGTTGGAGAGCCGCTGCCCGATGGCGCCCGCATCTATGTCTTCCACGCTGCTGGCATTCACGATCACGTCCACACCCTACAGCGAGAAAAAGGCGTGTTCAGGCAGCACAGCTCCTTCCTGTTGTCGCCCCCAGCGTACAGACCCTGCTGTGGATGGCTGGCCCCACCCACGAGCCCTGGCCCCACTCGCACCTGGAAGAACTCAGCCACCTTAGCCACGTGGCTGGCACAAGCGCATTTTCGGGCATCAGGCACGTCTTCACCGACCTGAAAGTACCCAGGGAAGAGGAGTCGGGAAAGGACAAGAGGGGGCAGTAGCCCGGGCCTGGGCTCTCTTCCCGGGGTTGGCAGGGTTCTCTCCAGCAGCGTCAGGGCGTGGAGCGGGGTGCAGGGAACTTTTCGGGGGCCTTCAGCCCCTCACCAGCCCACAGCTGCATACCCAGTTGATGAGCACGTATTTTGGCAGAGCAGCCTGGGAGTCCTTGACGCTGCAGAAGCCGTACATCACCTTCTGGTTCTCGAAGTGGCCCGAGAGCTCCTGCAAGCCCCCATCTGGAGGAATCAGGAGGGTATCAGGACTCCTGTCTCTTGACCCCTTACCCCACAAACGGCCTAGAACCCGAAGGAAAGACTCCTCTTGTGGGCTCTGCAGGCACCCCAGACATCTGGAGGTCCCAGAGTTCTGTGTTGGTCAGAGAGAGGCGGCAGGCAGGCGCGAGCTGTGCCTTTGAATCCCTCAGGGCCAGACTGGGGCAGGACTGAGCAAGTGTTCGTTCTTCACACATCCTCATGTCTCACGCGGTGCTAGTACCAGTGAGGTAAAATAAAGCCTTTGGGCTCTGGAGAAAGTGGGGGTGATCTGGGCCATCCCTGCTAGGATCCTTCCCCACTAGCTGTGTGACTTTGGGCAAGTCACTCTCCTTCTCTCCAGTTCAGTCTTCTCATAACCAAACAGGAAACAAGGCTCTCTCCCTCCCCACCCTGGGGATCGCAGGGATGACCAGAGGAAGAACACCCGCCAGACAAGTGCGGGTCTGCTGGACGCAGGCAGGGAGGTGGCCTGGAGCCAGATGGGTGGGGAAAACAACCGGAGGAAGGGGTGGAGAGGACTGCGAAGAGGAATGGCTGGAATCCTTACCTCCTGACGCTGCAAGCTTGAGGTCATCTGAGCCATCCTCATATGTGTACAGAGCCCTGGGGAGAGGGAGGGGTGGCTCGGAGAACTGTCAGGGGCCCAGGCCGCCAATTTTGGGTGGGGACGGCTCTGGGGAGGAGGAGAGACAGAGAGAGAGCAGGACAGGAGGGGGGTTCTGGCCCAGTACTCTCCGGGTTGTCATGACAACAGGGCTAGGCACCATTTCTGGCTGAAGCCCAGCGGCGGGGCAGCCTGGGATCTCGGGGAAGGAGGCCTGGGTCAGGTGGGGAGGGCAACGGGGTAGAAATCACTGCCCAGTCTCAAAGTGAGCCGGTGTGGCGTCCTCAGAGCCCTGGCCCTGACAGCCTACAACCCAGCCAGCGGGTGTGAGATGGAGATTCCAAGGCGACGGTTCCCTGGTTACCGTTCCCTGGCTACCACACTCCTCATCCCCCACTGGCCGTTGCCAGGAACCTACCTGGCGCGTGCCTCAGTACCCACCGCCCCTCCTCCCATGATGAGGCAGGGGGAGGAGAGAACCTGGTGCTGCTCTGCTCTGGGCATCCCCCAGTAGCTATGGCAACCCAGCAACTGGCATACGACTGGCCCACCCCAGCAGCATTCTCCTGAACACAAAGAACCCTAGACACGCCTTCGGCCTCAATCTCCGCCTCCCTGAAATGGGGATGAGGTCACCACAGTAGCTCTTGCCCAGACTCTGGCCCCTGGGTGGCCATGCTCTCCTGGCCTTCCAGCTCCTAGGCCGCCTCCGCCCAAGCTGAGGCCCTGGCCTCGTGGGACTGCCGGCCTTTCCTTCTGCCTTAGCTTTGCCGTAAAGCTGACCTAGCAGCCTTCCTCCTTCTCCCTAGCTTTTTCTGCTCCAGCTTTTTCTCCCCAGGCGGAAGTGGCACAGCATCCATTTCACAGAAGGGAAGGCAGAGAGGTCTGCTCCTGAGAACCCACTGGGGCAAGGAAGAAGAGCCTTGTCCCAGAGGCTCAGGAGGGCTCAACCCCTTCCCCAAGCTCCCCTTTCCTTACTGCCAAGGCAGGAGGCTGGAGGCCTGGAGGAGAGAGGCGGGAGCACGAGGAAGATGAAGAAGAGAAAGAGAGAGAAGAGAGGCAGAGAGAGAAACAGGGAGAGGAGGAAAAAAGAGAAGACAAGAGAAAGGAGGGAAGCGAAAGGATAAAGAAGAAATGAAGGAGGGAGGGAGACAAGAAGGGAGGGGGAGGGAGGGAGATG